AGTTACAAGAAATATTGAACTTCCTTTTATACCGAGAAGTTTAAAAAAAATCCAGCATCATCTAAAACCCAAATAGTTTTTTAAATAGTGTTTAAGTTTTATTAGCGTTTAGCAGAGTCTGAAGCTATCAGAGTTGGAAGCAATAATAAGATGTTAGTTGCTCTCAATTGAATCTTAGGGAGTTTTATTTTAACTTTTAGCATTTTACATCACTACTGAAATAACAGAAGCACAAAACACATGGAATAATAGTAGGCCGGCCAACAATTTGCTTTTGACACACTAAAATTATCAGTGTTTCCGCTAGTTTCCCATTGAGCCTGTTTTTAGAAGATATTTAGTTATACAGCATATTCAATAACTTTTAACCTTGTCCTGAACGAGTCTGAATTAGCAAGCGTCTACTGTGACAGTTTTCAACAATGTCGCAAAAACTAATAGTCATTTATGTTAACCATCAACCCTTATTGTTTTATTTGTGTAAAATATTGGTTTGCAGTTTTTATTTATTTAAAGTTGTTATATAATCAGACACTTTGTTAACAGACGACGATAACCCTTGGTTGAGCAACGACGCAGTGAAGAGTCGCATCAAAGTATCAGAACTGATGCCGCAGCTGCACTTGCCCGTCAACAGTCTAGACATCAACAACAACCGTTTGATCTGCTGCAGCGACAACGAAGCTGTCTACATCATCAACAACCTGCCCATCTAATCTCATTGTTTATGCTAAATAAAGTTTGTTTTTATAGATTGGTTTCTGTCGGTTCCTTTCTGGAGTCTCATTTCTATACTTAGGTGAGCAAAAGCCAGGAAAAAATGTGTATTATGGAGGTGTTCTTAATAAAGAGGTTTGTTTTATCGAGGTTTAATACTGTACTTGCTATCTTGTGCAGTTCTTCTAGGCTCGAAAACAAATGTTGAAGTCAATTAGCATGGTAATAAATTATCACAAACTATATGATACATAAAGAAATACCCCCGCCGCAGCAAACCTGCAGACTAAGTGAATTCCATTTGCCTGATTTGGTTTTTACTTAAATTTTAAATCCTTGAAACATGTCTGATTTATCCTTATTTAAATAACATTAACTTTAAGGACTTAGATTTGGTGGTACAGGAAGGTAAATTAAGAGGTTATTTTAGTAAAAAGTCATTAGCTTAGTATGAAATAAATAAATTTGTTTAATTAATCATTCAGACATATCATCAAGACATATCATTCAGTGCCACCACAGGGTCGTGTACAGGTGCCAGTACGTCATGTAGTGCCACATCGCCTCAGCGGCTGTTGACCTACGTGGTGTTGTTCCTCGGCTGTGGCTGCTGTGAAGAACCGAGGGTATCCAGGCAGCACGACATCGGGTGACTCAAACATGTGGACTGTAACACGGTCATTAAGATTAAGATACTAGTTAGGATTCATCTCTGGGAGATGGTCACGTCATTGAACTGGCAAAAGTCTGGGAGATATTTCAGATGTGTTACAGCAATAAATTTTACTCAAGTTAAACTGTCCAGTTAAGTTCAATTCAGGCTTAAAGTTAAGTTGAAGCTTAGTCCTAAGATAAATGCTTTGCTGCAACCTTCAACGCATCCGAGATGTCAGACAGTATTTTCGCCTTTTCAATGTACGAGGTTTGTTTTTTAAGTAAGTACCGTTTTTAAATTTCTCCGTTCCAGCACTGCGATTGGCATTTTCGACATTTGCGCTGTGTATGGCCATCTATTGTTAAGACCTAGACGGAAATTCGAGAACAATCGGCCGTGTTTACATCCGGTTTCGAGCATTCAAAATGGTGCCGCCAATTCAGACTGCCGCCAAATGTGAAGTGCACGCTGTAATTAGATTTTTAAGTTCTGAAGATGTGAAAGCCATTGAAAATCATCGACAGATTAGTGAAGTGTATGGCGAAAACATTATGTGTGTCATAATGTGGATAAGGGCAAGTGGATGTTATCCGCAAGTGGATAAGGGCATTTAAATACGGCCCCACCAACGTTCATGATGAATAACGCACTGGGCGGTGTCATTACTGTCCCCGGACCCAGTGCGTTGCTCATCATGAACATTAATGGGGACGTCTTAATATGCCCTTACCTACTTGTGTACCATTCCGTCACTCATAATGTTCTCGCCATACATTTCACCAATCTGACGATGATATTCAATAGCTTTCAAATCTTTAGCACTTAAAAATCTAATTACATCGCGCACTTCACAGTCGGCGGCAGTCTCAATTGGCGGCACCATTTTGAATGCTAGAAACCGGATGTAAACACGGCCAATTGTTCTCGAATTTCCGGCTAGGTCTTACCAATAGATGCCCATACACAGCGCAAATGTCGAAAATGCCAATCACAGTGCTGGAACGGAGAAATTTTAAAACGGTACTTACTTAAAAAACATGCCTCGTAATGTGCTGAAATTATTTTTCAGATTTTTTGGCTTTACACTTTAAGTTCTAATTTTAACTATCTGCGATTTTTATTGTTTGGGCTGTGATGAGAGGGATTGTGTAGATTGTTGGACATACGTTTAGTGTAGTAAAGATAGAAAATATCAAAACTGTGTGTATATTTATTTGTAAAGTTATGCAAAAAAACATCTCAAATCTTGAGTCCAGCTTGGTTTTCACTACAGTAGTGCCGCAATTAACTGTTAAAATTGAGTTTACGCCTTGTACACTCACTGCTAGCGGTACTAATAGATAGTGTTCATTCTCAACTAGCACTCGCTAAGCAAAAGTATGTGTAACTGAAGCTTGAGGTTTATCAATTATTAAGTCCTTAACACTCGTGGAAGTTATGTCGACTGATCACTTCTTTAATAGATTTTGTGTTATGACAGTAATTTACGTTTGGAAACCTAAAAAGTTTTTGATTTTGCACTATTTTAATAAGTTTCTGATTATTTTGGGTCTAAACGGTAAAAACATAAACAATACTGAAGCTATTGTTTTTTAATCATAGAAAACCCTTAAAATATAATTTTCATGTTGATTGTTCACTTTGCGTTTGCTTGAAACCCGTGCAATTTGAATAACTAATAGCTTAAATAAAAGCCGGTATTTCACTGAAGGTTCTTAGACCAAAATATATAGGATTGTATAATTATAACTGATGAAATACATCTTAAGTTGAAGTAAGAATTCAAAAATGAATTAAATTTAGGTTTTTTATGTTGTTTGGTCAAGTAATACAGTAGATAAATATATGCCGATACTTGGTGTGAAATCTTTGTGTGCATACCTTCAATTTAAGAACTCAATCATGAAAATCAGTCGGGTAGAAGAGCCAAACAAACTCGGAAAAGAAAAACCAAATTTAACTCCCATAAGAAATACATGGGAGTTAAATTTTGTTTACGTATAAGCCGAGTGGGGCTGTAGATACAGTAGAACCTCTTTAATCCGAACTAATTGGGAGCAGCGGTTTCGGACTATTGAATAGTTCGGATTACAGAACATATTGTTGTTTTTACTTAACAATAGCTAAAACATGGCTAAAATTGATCAACATTATTTTGGGGTAAGTGAAAAAATGTTTTATAAAGTAAAATACAGTGTTTATTTAATACAGTAGTAATCATGGTGAATAAACAGTCACTGTAAATTAAATACAGTATACAATAAAGAACTGCTGTACTGTGTATAAAGTACAGCAATGAGGGGTTCGGATTAGTGGACGTTCGGATTACGGGGGTTCGGATTAAAGAGGTTCTACTGTAAATATATGCCGATGCTTGATGTGAAATCTGTGCGTGCATACCTTCAATTTGAGACCTGAATCACGAAAATCGGTTGGGTAGAAGAGCCAAACAAACTCAAAGAAAAGAAAACCCAAATTTTTAAATCATATACTAATTCACAAACCAATTCATCGCTAATATAGAGGTTACTAAAAATATTACATGAGGTTTCCACAAGTAAGCCTAGAACAACCCTTCAAACACAACTTCAAATGTTGTTATTTAGTTGGATGGACTCAAAGCAAACATGTTTGTTTTTTTGTTCAAAATGGGACTGTCAATAAACGTACAAACAAGATATTAGGGCTTTTAGTATACGATTCAGGCTAGTGTCGTAATTTGATTATATTATTCGATCCATACCGTTTCTGTTCTAATATCTGTGGAATAATGCTATCAGCTAATTCTTGATCTACTTCATTTAAAAGTCCAGCTGATTTTATGCCTTTGTTTATGTGTCAAATATTACCGCTTCCATAAGGATTACATCGAAACTTTGAGGGCCCGTAGGCCGGATTCCTAAGAGATTTGTTTGACGCCATATAGATGTTGGCACTCACCGCTATGGTCTTTATCACCATGCAAAATTTGAAAACGATTGCTTCAGCTGTCTAGGAGGAGTTTGCGTATTACAAAATGCATAACAGTCACCGTATAAGAGCTTCGCTCGCTCTGTTAAAAAAAATTAAAGTTTACCTTTTTGAATATATTTATTTTACTTATGAAATATTGTAAAAAGGCGGCTTTAACCCTTGAGATATCATCAATTTTACACTAATCCCGGATTATTTTGTTATTGGTTCTGGGATTAAAACCCCTTTATGAATTGTACATTGCATTTAGGTATACTAAAAATAGTATTCCGCTTTCTTGAACCTAATACAATCAGGAGCGGCTCCAGGAATAATGTTTTGGGTAGGCCTGACAATGATCAAGAAGGAGTTTGATCGGGGGACGAGAGGTTTGAGGGGCTTCCCTGCAAAAAGGGAAGAATTTTAAAATTTAAATGCAAAATAATGAGTTTGAATGATTTTCTTTTATTTACTTATAAAATATTTTATTTATTTACAATTTATAAATATCTACCAACATTTTGGGTAGGCCTGGGCCTACATGGATTGCCCTCTGGAGCCCCGCCTGAATACAATATATATTCAATATTCAATTCAAAACAATCTGAATCGATCAAACCTATTGACCAACACGCTGACGATTAATTTGATCTAAAAACATCTCAACTTTAAATGTTTACGAAGAAAACTTAACGTTGCTATCATAAACAATCATCACAACAGAATCAAAATATAAGAGGTGTCATTATCGCTGATTTGCGTAAATGACCAAACAGAGCACGAAACTCGCTCTGCCAACTTTGCACAATATGTAGATCAACTTTGTTAACTGCCTTACAGTGACATAAGTAATGGTCGTATACAATTATTCCACAATTATAAAAAAAATTACCAAAAGTCAAAAGATAGTTTTTCATGGTAGGTATACTTATTTTCAATTATTATATTTATTGGCTCAAAAACTATCAAGATATAAACAATTTTACATCCAAATCCAAAATTATCTTCTGTATAGCCCTCATACAACCTGGGTGAATTGATAAAATAACATAGACACAACAGAATAAACTAGAACTCCTAAATTCTGAGGAACAATTAATTGTTGAGTCATCCTTATCTTGATAACTGTGGAGGAGAAAAGCAGTAAGTAAGTAAATATTACTCATATAAGAGACAGTTATTTGGTAGCCTATTTCAAAGATACGAAGAGCACTCATCAAATTATGTATTTAGTTTTTAGAGTGTGTTAGAAGTACATTCCAATTATCAAAGTATATACCAAAGAGCAAACATAAATTCAATTCTAAATGCATAAATCAATTAGAGGTTCAAAATTATGTGACCTTTCAAAATAAGCGGAAACCCGACCAAATCTGAAGTTAACTGAGTAAAAACCGAAACTACCAACATTATCTGGAAGTTAATTAGAGCTATGAAATCAATTAAAACTTTATATTATACCTATTATGATTGTGTGAAAAGTTTATAAAATAATTAAAATATATTCAAGTATTTATCAGAAAAATTTGAACACAAAAAGGCAGGAATACTAAAGTTTTTGCTTTAAGGTAACGATTTTTTAAGCTGATGTAAGGTAAGTAGTAAATTTTATGAAACAGTTTCACTTCATTTAGCTACAGTTCTTAACACAGAACATATTTAGATGTTTGTATAAAAAAAAGAAATATTTTACAGTTTATTTACGTTATATCAATTTTATTGCGCTAATAATTTGCAGGCTAGAAGCTGCTTATCAATTTAAAATATTTGTTGACAGCAAAATGTTGTAATCGCTTGAGACTTTTATCGGACAAAGTAAAAAATTTTTTTGTAAAATATGTATTTGTTTTCTCACCACACTAACACAGGGGAAGATGGGATTTTGATTTTATTTTGTTTTTATTTTAATAGACGTCATTTAAATATTAGTCTGAGGTACAATCCCAATACACTAAAAAACAACCACCACATTTAGGTACAAAACCCCCTCAAAAAATGCCACCTACAGATATCAATTATAGATCAGTAGACCTATCCTAGCATCTAAAGTCAATGCTGCTGCCTCATAAGCCGCTGGATTTAGTGCTAGTTACTGTACGATGTTGTAATGGAGACACGCTGAAATTTAATTTCTATAATGAAAATATTACGATTTCACTAAAAACTGTATTTATTAAATTGTTTGATCAACTTCATTACACCACTGCTTGTAAATTTATCTCTTACAAATACAACGGATAGTTGGATAAGTTTTTAACAAATATTTCAAATGTTATGCCATTATTACTCACCAATATTTCGCAAAATGTATCGAATAATACTCTCAAGAAGTGTTGCTAGTGTTAAAAAATACTACAACCTTGAATCATTGATTATTTTATGCACGAGATGATAATGAAGTTTTTAATTTGGGAGATTCTACTCTACCAGATAAATAAAATTAGGTTGTTTTATTTCAAGACAACGCTGACAGTTAATAAACTATATACTGTATTTTTTAGTAAAAAAAAATATGTATATATATACTATTTGGTAACATAAAGGCACACAGATTTCCATTCGCCCCAAAAGTATCATCACTCATCCCCGTTGTAATAATTAGTAATTTAGTAATTAGTAATAATTAGTACTGTACCTAATAATTTTATGGACACTTCAAAAACATAGAATCAATATTTACTCGTTTAGTTGCGATAAGCAGATAATCAGCGCTGCACCTGATGTTATCTTTTCGCAAGAGGTTGGTGTAATATTCATTTTCTAGATTGGTACGCCCGAATTGGCGGCCTCTTCCGGTAGCCTTTAGATTTCCCAGCTTCACTTTCCTTTTCTTTCCTTATCGCCATATTGTTCTTTTGGCCGTTAGACAAGGGTCCCATTTTTAGCGATTTAAAATATAATTACTTGTTTTATAATTGTGAGATTAGATAATATTTTATCAAGAACACTTTTAATAACATGTAGAGTAAGTAATTTTTGAATAATTCTCATTGGGAACGGGGTTTTGTTGTTGATTTCAATGAAATACGTCTAGGTACCTCAGACTAGGTCTGATAGCACCCATATTTGGAGTTAATTGTTTTTATCGAGGGTAATTGCATTATTTGTTCGCAGCGAGCGTGCGTGAATACAATAATAATAATAAATATATGTTGGTATGTGTTTTAATTGACGACGAATATGATAATGTGTGAGAAATTGCTATTTTTAGTTTTGGTTTCATCTTTAGACTTGATAATGAAGGCCGCCATGTTGAATTATGTTAATTATTCATTTTTTAGTGATACATTTTTTGGAGATGTTTTATGGTTGCTTTAAGTGTTATGTAACAGCCTATGTTATGTTTGATATAAATAATACTATTTGGTAATTAAATATTTTTATCTACGAATAATTTAATATGTGCTTTATCACCGCGTTTATTAATCATTTATGATCATTCCAAGCCGAGGCAATTTTAAAGCTCTCTTCTCATTGGACGAAAAACTGTTGCCTAAAGCTCTCATTGGTTGATATAGTTTTTAAGGATTATTTCAACGTTTCTACATGCTTTTAATGAGTTAGTTATTGTAAATAGCGAAATATATTGAAACTAATCTATTATAAAATGGATTCTTTATGTAGGTAACTTTTATTTATGTCATTTAATGTACTTATATGATATTTTCCGCATTTTTTGAGGCAGGTAACGAGAACTCAAATCTTTAGCCTAGGTTTGGTCATGGGATAGGCTACGACATCAAGATTATTTTAGAGGGTTAATGCTACTATAAAACTATTTAATTTTATATCTAGGTTGTATATAGCAGTGAGCTATGTCATCTAGCCTATATGGCTTTCAGTCAATCTAATAAAGAAAGTTGTCTGGTGTTTATTTCAATTAAGCCTACTTGGAAATCCTCTCAATAACCTAACATTTTAAAATGGTGTACTTGACTTCTTAATTTATTCAAATGGTATATTATTTAATTTATGAGATATCCATCGCTGATCCTTTCTAGATAAGGTGTTATGAAACCACAGTAATCAATTTCATGTAACCTTGTTGTAAAATATGGTAAATTAAGAAATAATTTGAAGTTTATTTTCATACTTCTGGATTCTGTTGGTGGATTAAGTTAACGGTTAACGACATACCCCTCTGATTTTATGGAAATTTAAATTTAATAGAAACATTAAATTGTAACTTTTACTTACAACCTATATTTTTAGTCTCCTTGGATTTATGACAATTTACAAACGGAAGTTGAAGGGTTGTTTTGATAATTTGTATAGCTTATATTGGCTATGAACTAGTAATTTTGTAAAAAATATTATCATTTTGCCTATTTTTAACAACTTTTGTCCTACCTTCCCCTTATTCCCTGTAAATAAGATTTGATGTTTTAAGTATTCAGAACCTACTTTATCGAAAGTTTTCCAATTTGATAATATACAGGGTGGCTGAAAAGTAACTTGACCTTAACTTTTCCAACCATTTGATATTTTTGAAATTGGTTTGCGGCAACCTTCTTAGATATGAAGGACTACAATAATTATTGTTATTTTTTTAATTTTCCCCTTAGGTCTACTTGGTAGCTCAAAATGTTCAATCGGGAAGTATAGTGACTTTGGTGAAATGACACCTTGAACAATTAAAATCCAATTAACATGAGGGTGACTTAAGTAACTTGCACCCTTAACTTTGTAACTATTTGAGATAATTAAAATCAGTTTGCGGCAATCTTCATGGACATGAAATGCTACAGTAATTATGGGTAATTACAAAAAAATGATTGAAAGAAATCTTAATTTAACTTTGCTGTGCATAAATATATTCCCTGCCATCAGCAATAAACCTACCTCTGAATGGTATCCATTTGTTACACAACACAAACACTTTACACACTTATTTCACAAGGCCACACACCAACACAACACTCACAAAATTACACAAACACATTTAAAGGATCAAGCAACCGGTTAACAATACTGTAAACTCTGTAAATTAACACATGTGCGTCTCAAACTATTACTGCGCCACAACTAACACCTGAACTGCACTGTGTTATCAACACTCGCGTTATCAGCACTGCGTCAAAAACTCGGTTTATCGCGTTTTATTCTTAGAAAAAAAAATCAGAGAGAACAAAATCGAGTTTTTATTCGCTGGCAAATAGTGATATTTGTACTTTTTATCGCCCCAGAGCCAAGCGATTAGACTACACGGGGCTTCTATTGTCTTGTGGCTGTTGCAAGATAACGTCTATCTCTTCTCGAATGGTATTGTTAATTTTTACTTGTATATTTATTCTGTATCTCGTGGACTTAAATAATGTTATAATTCTGTTTGAAATTTCACGAATCATACTAATATTATAAATGTGAAAGTTTGTGTGTTTGTTTGTGTGTTTGTTCGTTTGTTTGTATGTTTGTTTTAAGTTCAATCACGCATTAACTACTGGTCGGATTGTGTTGTATCAGTTGTGGTTCAGTTAATATATCTAATGGTCTGGCATGTTTGAGTTAACCTTAAAGTGATAATGAGAAGTTAATCGTGTGATATTTCAAATATCACATTGTTCCATCTTAAAAACAGTGATGCGATCAAAATTCTAAAAGGTGTTTTTCTTATAACGATTTAATGAGAAGCTAGTCTTGTGATAAGTAAAATACCACCTTCTTCCATCTAAAAGTGGGCCAAATCAACGTTTACAACGGTGTTTTCAAGTTAGGCCTATATGTAGGTATGTTTTGAAAAAATTTACAATGAGTGTAAAAATGTATAATTTGATGTAAAAATGCCATAGACTCGCTCTGATTACAATAGAAAATACGTAAAAGGATACAATACTTCCAACGATACAACTTTTAAACTTTTAGCGAATTTTCCCTATAGGGAATAAGCTATAATTACCGTAGTACTCATGGTAAGACCTGGACCCGGGACCGATTTACTTTTTCGTTATGAGGTCCCTAGAGACCAAAAATACCATCCGTTCAAATTCATATATATATAATAAGTATGATTGTGATTAGGGCTACTACTATATATATGTCCGTTAGCGCGATAACCCGAGCAAATATCATCCGATTTTGATGAAATTTGGTACAATCGTGTAAATCTACGTTTATTCGAACGAGTTCGCGAACCAGCATGATCGGACTATGCAAACAGGGGTTTATGGAGGGTTTATGGGGTGAAAATTGGTTTATCCCATTTTTGACCCTAAAAACTTAAAATGTAGCAATTTCTTTCCAAACCATTTTGTAGAGCTTAAAAAACAAATAGTTTAGTATATTGAAGCATTGTTATGCGCCTAATGGTTCCAAAAATTCCAAAAATCGGTAAATTTAAAATTCCCAAGTTATTCTTATGGAGAATAAGTAAACTGTTGTAGTTTGCTTGTTTATGAACACATTATGATCAAATTTGGAAAATGCATTCATTTCATACAAAACTATTACATTTTACAAAAAAATACCTTTTTACCCTCCCTGTTGCAGCAAACCTAAGTACTTGTTAAAATAATGTTATTTATTTAAATAGGGAATAAATGTGATATTTTTAAGGAGACTTTTTAGTGGAAATCCAGTCAGGCAAATGGAAATTCGCTTAGTCTGCAGGTTTGCTGCGGCGGGGGTATTTTGTAGTTACACAAATATTTTTGACAAAATCATAAACTTCACCCAACGATCACTTCTGTTTCCTTTCCGTGACCGAATGCACAGATCAGGTATAATTTTCACGACCGCTGTTTGGACATATTTGGCCTCCTTCACTAGATCCGACGCAGGCTTGCAGTACAGCCCTGCAATGCAGGCCAGTCTACGCCATTATGAAGGCGCTATTGGCTGTGTTGGTTAATGCTACGGTTGTAACGCCTTCGGTATTACTCCACCGTTCGTGTCTCCAAGAGTAATTTATATAGGCCAAAGTGATGAAATTTCAACACCACAGCTACCGTACCGGTATTTGAAGAGAACAGTTTGCTTTTTGAGTTTGATTGCTACAAACACTGGAATATTCTTTACACCCACTGCACGTCATGTGAGGGGATGACGTCACCACTTGCAATATTGTCAGCTGATCGTTAACACACTATTAAGTTGATATAAATAAATATTTATGACGAAATTTCACTAATCAAGTTTTATGATTTATAAACGTTCTATAACTTGTTATTCAAATACTTAAACACCTATTTAAGTGGCCATAAATATAAATTTGGTTATTCGTTTTGTGTATGCAGGTCGTGCTAATCATGCCGTAGGAGGTTTATTTACATTGTTAGATCTAATCCGTAGTGTAAGTGAAGCTAGGACTACGTGGGGGGGGGGGGGGTTACACAAAGCACTAAGTAGTGTTGCAAAGTTGTTAACAGGGGAAGGTAGTGGGGAGATCTGGGGCATATCATATTTACAGAAATAATAATGTGGTGTTTTTTAATAGTGTAAAATTGTACCCAAAATGACAAGCACTTGATGAGTAGCTTATACTGTAGTTTCTTGTATATTTTGAAACATTTTTACCCTCTGAAACAGGTTTACAGGAATATCCTTATATATAATACGTGAAGGCGATTTCTACAAAACACTACTCCTCCGTTAATAATGAACGGATTCTTACAAACTACGTGTCAAAATAAAGTATCCATAAACTTTCACCAATTCATGTAATAAAAGTCCTCGGGCATTGCCCCACAGGCCATCAAAGTTGGAGTTTCACCCATAAGATTAACATGGGGGAATGTAAATATTTAATTGGAAACTTTGTCCCCACTAATTTAAGAGAACGGCTGGGCGTAGAAACTTGGTAGAGGTGTCAAAAGAAAGGTCTTGATCTGTAGATGAGTTACCAAAAGAAAAACTAAGCAAAATCCCTTAGGACTTCGCCCCAGAAGCCTTTAAAGATCACTCCACAGAGTTGTTTAAATTTTGGCCATGTGAATAACACTTTTTAATGAAACAGCTGTTCATTTTTAAATTGTATTTCAAACATGACACATTTATTGGGAGTTACTGAATTCTACCAAATAAGTATTTGCAATGTTATTTTCCGATTTTAAAATTGATTTTCTTCTTTATCATGTCATGTTTTGCAATATAACATTCCATTATGAAATCCATTATGAAAGGAAAATCCTTTTATCACAGCAATTCTTAAATTATTTCTTATTGAACTATCTTATATCTATTGTACGGGTTGGTGTCTGCCTTTTTCACCACTGTTGCCTACATTTTATCATATTATTCTACACATATCAAAAATTTATGTAGAAATATCTGCTATTATCGTGTCTAATAAGATCCAAACATAGAAACCTTGCCTAAAATGGTATCCATCTTGACAAATTATTTGCTCCTGCCTAGGGCCTATATTACAAACTTTGGTGCACTGGGTTGGTAACATTAATGAAAATAACACGACATTTTGGCTGTAAACTATGATACAAAGAGAAAATGCTATTTAGCAACTACTGTCATGACAGAAAGGTCATATTCCTTTTAAACTAGATCGCATAATCCTTTATAAGATACGTTGCTTAACAATATGTAAACGTCAATGTCGTCAATATATACGTATTAGCCAATTTACGGTATTTTTGCTTTTTGGAAATGTCCCATTGCTATGTCATTTGCATTATTTGTTGCCAATGAAGCCACAAGACCATATGAACTAGGAGGCCCCTAACAGTTCAAGAATAAAAGCCAACTTCACTGCAAGTATATTCCACTACACCTAACATGTGGTAGAGAGATTATATTGACAACTTTATGTTATTGATAAGGCTGAGACAGCTAACTGACATCCCCCATGTCAAGGAATTCTAGCTTTAACAGTAACCCCACAATCAATTTCTGAAAACTATGCTAGAGGGTTCATTCATTGGCTCAGAAGTACGATATAAACTGCCCTTACGTGACGAAGAAAAAATCAAACTTACACTGTAACGGATATACCTCCCTTTGAAGTTTGAATATGTCTTCCCAAAAAATATTTTCTTTTGAAATAAAATCATACTACACTGTTGAAATCACGGAAGTGTTTAGCTACAAAAGATCCACCTATGCGATTTTAATACGATTTAAAGGTTCTTCCAAAGGAAGAGATACCAGATAACATACTAATAATAACTCCGATGACGTACGGTATGGGGAATATTTTATTCATTGAATGATCAACCAATTTTGGCAACTAACGCAATTAATATCATTATAGTCATTTACACCATCATTTACATCATTTACACTTATAACTCTTTAAACAATGCTAAATGCTCAAAATATGTATATTTCACCCAATTTATCTCAGTTAGATGAATTAACGTAAGTCTTGAAAGTAACCGTCGATTTCGACGGGTTTCGCCTAGTTTTTTTTTATATTTATTGACTTTTAATGCACTTGCAATGATTTCATTTATGGTTAATGGTTGTTGATGACAAGTGGGGGCTACTGAGTTTGTAGTTACAGGAAAAGGGCACGTGATAAAATTTCAAAAAGACTGTAGGCCTATTTTTTTAGAGGAAAAGTAAACAGTTGTTGTTTACTTGTTTATTATTACGTTTTGATCAGTGTGATCAATTAATTTCAAACAAACTATCAACATATCACAAAAGAATTTCTTTCTTGTACTAAGCAAATCTAATGTAATTCGAAAAGAAAATAAATCAGACAGGAAATTGTTAATTTTTTCCTGTCCTAGGAAATGTTTTGGTAAAAATCCACTCAGACAAATGGGAATTCCCTTGTTCTGTACGTTTTGCTGCAGGGGGGGGGGGGTTATTTAAAACATCTTAAGAATCTTATAATTTCCTTCAGTATATCCCAACATGTGAACATGTGGTAACTTTCTAATAGGCATTAGATTAGACAAAATTTGTTTGTTATTCTTCGCTGGCTAGACAGGGTTCTTGTAGACAATCAACATGTATATAATCATACTAATATTATAAATGAGAAAGTTTGGATGTATGGATGTATGGATGGATGGATGTATGTTTGTGACAAGTGAACGCGAAAA